AGATGAAGATGAAGATGAAGATGAAGATGAAGATGAAGATGAAGATGAAGATGAAGATGAAGATGAAGATGAAGATGAAGATGAAGATGAAGATGAATATCAACTGAAGTTGACTAGTTTAGGTTAGTTGAGAGAGCCTTTAAGTCTGCAAGTAAAAACTTTTAAGTAAATACGCCTTCATTGAATACAAAGGTGAAAATAATTTATTTTTAGCATCCCACATTTTTTATTTCGTTTAGCGCGCAATATTAGATAACACAATATAATACTTTAAAATTATATGCGCATAATAGCGATATGAATGCTGTGGCGATGAAATAAATAAGTACGCGACATTTTTGACAAGTTTTGGCTATTTGTCTCTTCAAACAACGAAATTAAAACTTTGTGCAAAAACTAGGAAAATTCGACAAAGTTTCAACATTTAAAACTTTTTAATCAGAATTTTTAGAAAAAATTTTGTATTCAATTTTCCAGTCCAGTGTGAATTTGCAGTAGCTAGGATTTAGCGTAGATTTTTGTTTTTATTTGCTGACGTTTACACGCATTTTCTTTCTTACAAAGTAAATGCGCAACACCGCCAGCCAAAGAAGTAATTCTCGAAATTCATGGAAAGTCCTAGTTACTTCATACTACTATTATATTTATTATACTACAAAACTGCATACCTAGTTTTTTTTTTTTTGAAATTTTAAATAAAAAGCTTGAAATTTTTATGATACTTTAATACAAAAATATTAAACATTAAATAAACCAAAGCAAAATAGCCAAAACTTGTTAAAGTGTCGCGTCTTTATTTGGTTGCTCGCCACCGTATCTATCAAAGTTAACTTGTGGATATGTACATATGTATGTATCATAAATAACTAGTTTATAAGAAGAAAATAGTATAAAATGAAAAAAAAAATAGTAAACGATTATTTGGCAGTAGAGCAAGTAGAGGAAGTTACTTTGTATCAAGTTTTCGTGTTTTCGAAATATTATACAAACAAAGGGTTACTTCATTCAAATCTCCTCATAGTCATATTCATCGAGATTGTCATCACTTCGGCTTCGTATGATTTTTGTGCTATTGTTCACGCCACTAATGCTGCTGCTGCTACTGCCGCTATGATTACCATTTACATTGCTGCCAATGTTGGTGTTATAATAGTTGCTGTTGTACTTGTTGTTAGCGTTCTTGTAGATCGAATCAACACTGCTAATGCCGCCACCGAAACTGGTTGCGGACGTGTTGTTCTTAATGCCGCCGCCGCCGCCGCCGCCGCTGCTGCTGCTACCGCTGATGGGGGCGACGCTGCCCCCAACGCCACTGTGATTATGGTTATTGTTGCTGCTGCTGCTAACACCACGATTGGTGTTGCTGCCAACATTGCCGCTGCTGCTGCTGCTGCTGCTACTGCCGCCGCTGTTGTTCACATTGCCGCGACTTCGATAATCACGTCCGCTAGCCACTTTGTTGACGGCTACCACATCATTTGGACTGTCATAATCGCCATAACCATCCAGGCATACTCGATTGCATTCCTCCAACGACTTGAAGTTGTTGACGTTGCCCGCACAGCCGCCAAAGTAGAACATGGCGCATTTCATGCGGCGCATATCGAAATAGTAGCGCTTCACTTTGGCCCGGCAATAGCCAAAGTCCATTGGTAATAGACATGTTTCCGGTATGCCTGCAATGATAATGCAAAAGAAAATATGTATTCATTTGAGATGGAAAAAAAATGTGGAAAATCACTGTACATATTCTGTTTTTATATTTATTTTTGCATTGAAATTATTCTTGGCTTGTGCTGTGGCAATGATGGTTGATGTCATCGTCGTCGTCGTTGATGACTTACTCGTGGTTGGTACTATGTAATTACTATAGTACGCATTTCTCACACAAAAGCGAGTTCAAGTGATTGAGATTGGAGACTGGTTGCAATTGAAGGTGTGAGTGGGATTGAGTGGCAATTCAAATATTTTTTACATTTTCATTTTCTTGGTAAGCAGCTACTGCATAATTTGTCAAAAGATCTTTTATTTCCTCAGCCAAATTACGTTCTTCACTTCGGTTCAGTTACGTCAAAGATTGAGACTTTGGAAAAAAACTTATGTACGTTACATATCTAATTTGTCTCATAATCAATACTATATTTGGTTGGTTGTGAATAAAACGCCAGGCTAGTTAATACATATAATGTCATAAGCTTAAGATTATATTTAAATACATAACATATTTTATTATACAAGAACAATACGACTTGCTTCTTCCTTTACCTTTACCTCTTTCTTCTTTTCTATCTTTATCGCTACCTCCTCCTCTCGTTACAAATCTATATTTATTGGCGCTTACATATATGTTAGTGTGTGGCCGAGCTTCTCCTCCAATTTGTAGCATGCGCCTTGATTTTGTCACAAAAAGGGGAGGGACCTACAGTATTGTATTTTTATGAGAATCTGTTTTTCACAGCATAAACACACTCGGAGGTTTGCCGCTGCCTGTCGCGGGGCAACTGCTATAAGAAAAACTTTTACAATTATATTTATCTTACATTGTCATTTATCTTTATACACCCCTTTATCCTTGTCAGGTGTGACGAGTTAAGGTGTGGTGAATTTAGGTGGCGAGTTCAGGCGTGGTGAGTTTCGGCGTGGTGAGTTCGGGTTTAGTGAATTTAGGTGTGGTGGGTTCAGGTGTGGTAAATTTAGGAGAAGTGGTGAGTTTGTGTGCGGTGAGTTTAGGTATGGTGAATTAAGGTGTAGAAAGTTCAGATGCGGTGAGTATATGAGCGATGAGTTGCCTTCCATATACATATATCTTTTCTTTATAATTACTTTATCTTAATTATTTTTTTACCTGTATCTTTGCCTTTCCTTTTATCATTACCCTCATCGGCATATTTTTCCTTACGAACTACGTATTAACCTGCAGTTAGCCCGTCATTCATTCAGTAACCGGCTGTAAGACTAGGCGTCTAACCAGCAGCCTCTATTTCAAACCGAAATGGAATCAAACAGAGAGGCTTTGGCTAACGGATAGCGGAAACTCTCGCCACAACTTTCCCATAGAAGAGACTAAGAATCTGACATCCTTTCAAGCAACGATGAAGTCCCAATCTGGATTAAAGACCTCCAGATTACTGAACCGTTTTTTATGCTGAGCTCCAGGCAAGGTCAGTATACACCAGTTCGGCAATGAATCATTCGATATGATTCACTAGACCCATAATCAAAGTCGTGTTTTTGTAATAAGGAAGTGAGATCTGAGTCGAGGTGTACTAAGTCCTATTAAACTCCCATCAATTGGTAAGCGAATGGGAACTCGGCACAGGCGAGTTTTTAATACTTTTTTCCTTGATTTCTCTGAAACCATTTCTTCGAGGACTTGGACCACTTCAATGGTACTAGTTTTTAGAGAAATATTTTCCTTTCGGCCGGTGGAATCACCGAGCGAGCTGTTGACAAGAACATACCGTCTAACCTAACCATCCTTGAAAATCTACCTAAACATGCAGTACATTTTAGTCAAAGTTATGGATATGCACGTTGTTAGGTTAGAGTGGCTGCCCACGCGCAGAGCTCGGATTTGTCTCTTTCCCTTTCCTAGTAATTGAACCACCGAGTGCGTTTTTTATAGCACAAAAAGTCGAGAATGTTCACCGAGTTCAGGTCGGCTAAATAATCTAGAAAGTACTTGAAGAAGAATTGGTTGCGCGTCTTGGCCAGGGCGGGACAATAGCAGAGATAATGTTGGACGCTCTCCACCTCTTTCTCGTCTCTTCAACTGCGACAAAAGTCGTTGGTGGGGTATCCTAACTTTTTTCACGTGTGCCCATCAGGCAGTGTCCGCTGACTACTAATCTGTGCGAATAGCGGTCCAGCCGAGTGAGAGATATGGATCGATTTACTTGGTAGTATGGCAGGAGGTGGTTTCCACAGCCCACCTGGTATTTACCTTCTCGATGAGTTGGATCTGTGGCCTGTGTTTGCAGGAGGTCAGAGGTATGTCCGCATTTTGAGAAGAATTGACTTCAGATATTTCCATCTCGCTCCTTGCCAGCTCGTCTGCTAAGCAGTTGCCAGGAACGTCCCTGTGTCCAGGGACCCATACCACAGTCAAGTGATATTTTGAAGCCAGCAGTATGGGAGTTCTACTGAATTCGAGGGCAACTTTAGACGTTGTTTCATTAGATTTAAGAGATCTAATAGCAGCCTGGCTGTCAGAATAATTGACGATAGGCCGTCCTGGAGGGGCGGAGGTTATGAGCTGGTTAATGCGGATCAAGGTTGTCGTCTGTCTTTGCTTTAAAAAAAGTTTTTTTTAACAGCGATCGCGACTCGCCAGTCAATGGCAAACCTTCGACTGTATTTCTTCCATGAAAAAGCTTCTTATAAAATCCATTTGCCATTCAGAGGCGGCGTAAAATTGTAGGTCCCTCGATTTGTGTAACAACATCAAAAGGTACACCATATATTGGAGGAGTATTATTATTATTAACAGGTGTGATAAAGCAAGCTGTAAATAAATGATGATTAAAAATTTCACTCTGACTTTTTGATTATTTTCTTGAAAGAGTGCCGGGCAGCTTTGGGTTAAGGACCTCATTATTTGATTTCGAAATTCCACTTTGTTTATATTTCTTGCATATTTGTGAACATTTTAATGGCTAGCTTTACTCTTGCTCATTTAAAATTTTATGTATCTATAATTTTGCCACTTTACAACTAAATTCAAATTAGTTACACTTTCCACAGTATGAGTTATGTCTTGCTTGTTTGCTTGTTTTTTTTTGTTTGTCTAAAAGTTATTAAAATGTTTTCACTTTCTCAAAGTTGTAAAGAAGGAGAGACCCCATTAAGATACACTGGCGGAAAAAAGAATTGGCACAGCGAATTTCGCTCAATATATGCATCCATTTCCATTCTAATATTTTTCCGAATTTTTTTTTATAAAAATATGGTTCATTCTACAAGAAAAAACCAAAAAATATAATTTCTAAACTTTGTACAAAACTCGCGAAAGTTCTATAAATTTTCATGCAAGTTTTAAATTTTTTTAGCAGATTTTTTAGAGTGTGCAGTTTTGTAGCGCATTAAATTCTTGTATAAAAAATGTAGGTTCGGAGTTTGTCAAGTTGATTTTTGAGATTTTTTTGTTGAAGTTGTTTTGCATTTTTTCCATACAAAGTATTTTCGCAATTTTTATACCCGAGCGCACTTGTGCACAAGGGTATTATAACTTTGTTCACATAACGGTTGTTTGTAACAGGCAAAACGAATCGAGATAGATATAGACAAATGTATACATAAATGATCAGAATGAAAAGAGAAATCGATTAAGCGGTGACTGTCTGTCCGTCCGTCCGTCTGTGCACACGATAACTCGAGTAAAAATTGAGATATCTTAACGAAACTTTCGGGCGTAAGACGGATGGTATTGGTATTGGGCGAAATCGGACAATAACCACGCCTACCTCCCATATAACGGTAATTTTCAGAAAAACGAAAACTGCGATATTTTAGTAACTACTGAAGATAATTC